TGAATGCTACTAAGTAACTGATGACTAGGACATGCACTTTTGAGTAACTTATGAGCATCAACATATTTAATCATGAATCTAAACCAAAAACCAAGCTGAGGACAAGGTGGGAGACATAGGCTGTCACTGGCATATGTTTGGGTTGAAATAACACTATCAGAAATGGCAGGTAAAGGGGTCAGAGAAGAGGAAAATAATGTCTTTTCCATACTGGTAAAAATTTGAAGTTGAAAGTTATACTTTCAGCTTGAAAAGGTTAAAAGGAGACTAGTGATGTCAAAACCTTTTTAGTGCAATGTTAAACAGGAAGTATACCAACCTTCCTAAATGACAAACAAAAGTCTCTCTCTCTCACACACACACATGCAAACCCAGAAACACAAAGAAAACTACATTGGCAAATACAGTAAATACAATGTACTACATATGGTAAATATAGAGTAAAATATGGGAGAGTTTAAAATATAAACAGGGAAATAAGAATGTTTTTATTAATCTAGGTATTTATGCATAAAAACCAATCATAAAATAAAAACTTAAAACATTGCATTGTAAAAAATCCACTAGTCCAGAGTGATAGTCAAAAAAATTTAAACTTGAACATTTTAACTTTAATAGACTAAAATTAATTTTGGATGCAAGTTAAAATTTGAGCAGAGAATATTCTTTTGTATGACAGAATGCCAACAAAAGCAAGTATATAGTAAAATTTTAAGAAAGTCTATTTCCAACATAAAAACATAAATATAAATAATTGACACAGGCAGGGGTGATTAATTGATAGTAAAATGCTCAGAGAAAGATTGCTAGAATAGGGGATATTAATACTTTTTCAAACCACTTGACAAATTAATTATAAATAAGATATTATTACAAGTGACGGAGCTCCTAGACTCCTCTTTAACCAACTGACCATCCTAGTACCACAATGTTGGGGATGGACACACTGGGCCTTCTCTGCCCACAAACGGGCTGAAGTAGGAAGCTCACAGCATGACTCTGCAGTATTCCTGTTCAAATGTTTGGGCTCACTTTAATCATGAGGACATTTTCAGACGACTTCAAAATGAAGAACTTTGAGTCAGACAGCTGACCTGTCCTCTACAAACAAGTCCATGTCACCACCATCAATGACAAGAACAAAAAAAGGAAGAAATATTTGGGGTTCAAAATGACTAAAAAAGCATAAGCTACATAGTCTTTTTACTCGTTTTGAACCCAAAACATCTCTTTATGTTTTTGTTGTGTTCTTGTTGGTGACATGGACTGTTTGAATGAGACAGGTCAGTTGCCCTGTTCAATGTTCTACATTCTACAGTTGTCTGAGGATTACGTCCTATGAAATTCAGGCTAAATATTTTCTTTTCTTTTTTCTTTTTTTTAAGTTTTTTTTTTTTTAATTGCATTTTAGGTTTGGGGGTACATGTGAATAACGTGCAAGATAGTTGCATAGGTACACACGTGGCAGTGTGTTTTGCTGCCTTCCTCCCCTTCACCCACATTTGGCATTTCTCCCCAGGCTATCCCTCTGCCCCCCACTGTCCCTCCCCAGCTCCCCCCCGCTGTCCCTCCTCTATTCCCCCCAATAGACCCCAGTGTGTAGTACCCCCTTCCCTGTGTCCATGTGTTGTCATTTTTCCTCACCCGCCTATGAGTGAGAATATGTGGTATTTCATTTTCTGTTCTTATGTCAGTTTGCTGAGAATGATGTTCTCCAGATTCATTCTTGTCCCTACAAAGGACATGAACTCATCATTTTTGATTGCTGCATAATATTCCATGGTGTATATGTGCCACATTTTCCCAATCCAGTCTATCATCGATGGGCATTTGGGTTGGCTCCAGGTCTTTGCTATTCTAAACTGTGCTGCAATGAACATTCGTGTGCATGTGTCCTTATAGTAGAACGATTTATAGTCCTTTGGATATATACCTAGTAATGGGATTGCTGGGTCAAATGGAATTTTTATTTCTAAGGCCTTGAGGAATCACCACACTGTCTTCCACAATGGTTGAACTAATTTACACTCCCACCAACAGTGTAAAAGTGCTCCTATTTCTCCACATCCTCTCCAGCATCTGTTTCCAGAGTTTTTAATGATCGCCATTCTAACTGGCATGAGATGGTATCTCAATGTGGTTTTGATTTGCATCTCTCTAAGGAGCAGTGATGGTGAGCATTTTTTCATGTTTGCTGGCCTCATGTATGTCTTCTTTTGTAAAGTGTCTGTTCATATCCTTTGCCCATTTTTGAATGGGCTTGTTTGGTTTTTTTTCCTGTAAATCTGTTTGAGTTCTTTGTAAATTCTGGATATCAGCCCTTTGTCAGATGGGTAAACTGCAAAAAATTATTCCCATTCTGTTGGTTGCTGATTCACTCTAGTGACTGTTTCTTTTGCCGTGCAGAAGCTGTGGAGTTTGATTAGGTCCCATTTGTCTATTTTAGCTTTTGTTGCCAATGCTTTTGGTGTTTTGGTCATGAAGTCCTTGCCTACTCCTATGTCCTGAATGGTTTCGCCTAGATTTTCTTCTAGGGTTTTTATGGTGCCAGGTCTTATGTTTAAGTCTTTAATCCATCTGGAGTTAATTTTAGTGTAAGGTGTCAGGAAGGGATCCAGTTTCTGCTTTCTGCACATTGCTAGCCAGTTTTCCCAACACCATTTGTTAAACAGAGAATCCTTTCCCCATTGCTTGTTTTTGTCAGGTTTATCCAAGATTGTATGGTTGTAGATATGTTGTGTTGCCTCCGATGCCTCTGTTCTGTTCCACTGGTCTATATCTCTGTTTTGGTACCAGTACCAAACTGTTTTGATTACTGTTGCCTTGTAGTATAATTTGAAGTCCGGTAGTGTGATGCCCCCTGCTGTGTTCTTTTTGCTTAGAACTGACTTGGCTATGCAGGCTCTCTGTTGGTTCCATATGAAGTTCATGGTGGTTTTTTCCAGTTCTGTGAAGAAATTCAATGGTAGCTTGGTGGGGATAGCGTTGATTCTGTAAATTACTTTGGGCAGTATAGCCATTTTCACAGTATTGATTCTTCCTAACCATGAACATGGAATGTTTCTCTGTTTGTGTCCTCTCTTATTTCGTTGAGCAGTGGTTTGTAGTTTTCCTTGAAGAAGTCCCTTACGTTCCTTGTGAGTTGTATTCCTAGGTATTTTATTCTCTTTGTAGCAATTGTGAATGGCAGTTGGTTCTCGATTTGGCTCTCTTTAAGTCTGTTATTGGTGTATAGGAATGCTTGTGATTTTTGCACATTGATTTTATATCCTGAGACTTTGTTGAAGTTGCTTATCAGTTTCAGAAGTTTTTGGGCTGAGGCAATGGGGTCTTCTAGGTATAATATCATGTCATCTGCAAATAAAGACAATTTGGCTTCCACCTTTCCTATTTGAATACCCTTTATTTCTTTTTCTTGCGTGATTGCTCTGGCTAGAACTTCCAGTACTATATAGAATAGGAGTGGTGAGAGAGGGCATCCTTGTCTCGTGCCTGATTTCAAAGGGAATGCTTCCAGTTTTTGCCCATTCAATATGATATTGGCTGTTGGCTTGTCGTAAATAGCTTTTATTACTTTGAGATACGTTCCATCAATACCGAGTTCATTGATGGTTTTTAGCATAAACGGCTGTTGAATTTTGTCAAATGTCTTCTCTGCGTCAATTGAGATAATCATGTGGTTTTTGTTTTTCGTTCTGTTTATGTGGTGAATTACATTTATAGACTTGCGTATGTTGAACCAACCTTGCATCCCCGGGATGAATCCTACTTGATCATGATGGATAAGGTTTTTGATGTGCTGTTGCAATCAGTTTGCCATTATTTTATTGAAGATTTCTGCATCTATGTTCATCATGGATATTGGCCTGAAGTTTTCTTTTTTTGTTGAGTCTCTGCCGGGTTTTGGTATCAGGATGATGTTGGTCTCATAAAATGATTTGGGAAGGATTCCCTCTTTTTGGATTATTTGGAATAGTTTCAGAAGGAATGGTACCAGCTCCTCTTTGTGTGTCTGGTAGAATTCGGCTGTGAACCCATCTGGACCTGGGCATTTTTGTGTGGTAGGCTCTTAATTGCTCCGTCGACTTCAGACCTTGTTATTGGTCTATTCATAGTTTCGGCTTCCTCCTGGTTTAGGCTTGGGAGGACACAGGTGTCCAGGAATTTATCCATTTCTTCCAGGTTTACTAGTTTATGTGCATAGAGTTGTTTGTAGTATTCTCTGATGATGGTTTGAATTTCTGTGGAATCTGTGGTGATTTCCCCTTTATCATTTTTTATTGCATCTATTTCGTTGTTCTCTCTTTTCTTTTTTATCAGTCTGGCTAGAGGTCTGTCTATTTTGTTGATCTTTTCAAAAAACCAGCTCTTGGATTTATTGATTTTTTGAAGGGTTTTTCGTGTCTCTATCTCCTTCAGTTCTGCTCTGATCTTAGTTATTTCCTGTCTTCTGCTAGGTTTTGAGTTTTTTGATCTTGCTCCTCTAGCTCTTTCAATTTTGACGATAGGGTGTCAATTTTGGATTTCTCCACTCTTCTCATATGGGCACTTATTGCTATATATTTTCCTCTAGAGACTGCTTTAAATGTGTCCCAGAGATTCTGGTATGTTGTGTTTTCGTTCTCGTTGGTTTCAAAGAACTTCTTTATTTCTGCCTACCTTTCATTGTTTATCCAATCAACATTCAAGAGCCAGTTGTTCAGTTTTCATGAAGCTGTGTGGTTCTGAGTTAGTTTCTAAATTCTGAGTTCTAACTTGATTGCACTATGCTCTGAGAGACTGTCTGTTATGATTTCAGTTGTTTTGCATTTGCTGAGGAGTTCTTTACTTCCAATTTTAGAGTAGGTGTGATGTGGTGCTGAGAAGAATGTATATTCTGTGGATTTGGGGTGGAGAGTTCTGTAAATGTCTTGTTTGCTTGTTCCAGGTCTGAGTTCAAGCCCTGGATATCCTTGTTAATTTTCTGTCTGGTCGATCTGTCTAATATTGACAGTGGAGTGTTAAAGTCTCCCACTATTATTGTGTGGGAGTCTAAGTCTCTTTGTAAGTCGTTAAGAACTTGCCTTATATATCTGGGTGCTCCTGTATTGGGTCCACATATATTTAGGATCATTAGCTCTTCTTGTTATATCGATCCTTTTACCATTATGTGATAACCTTCTTTGTTTCTTGATCTTTGTTGCTTTAAAGTCTATTTTATCAGAGACAAGAATTGCAACTCCTGCTTTTTTTTGCTTTTCATTTGCTTGGTAAGTCTTCCTTCACCCCTTTATTTTGAGCCTTTGTGTATCCATGCATGTGAGATGGGTTTCCTGGATACAGCACACCGATGGGTTTTGGTTCTTTATCCAATTTGCCTGTCTGTGTCTTTTGATTGGTGCATTTAGCCCATTTACATTTAGGGTTAATATTGTTATGCTAAACATTTTCAGCAAGAACATGGCATTGTTCATACTCTACCCTGGCAGAGTCCTGGGTGACATGCTGTCTCCTGCCAGTGGCTCCAGACTTCTGTTCTCTACAGGATGGAAATTGAAAGAAGTGGGGCTAAGGCCTATTAGTGCTGTTTGTCTATCTGGGAATTGGTCTCCCTAGGTATTGATCACAATTGGAGTAGGATGGACTGTGGCTTCTCAGATCAAAGAAGCCTAGTGGGTTGAAATCATCAAGGGCATTCTGCGATCTAAAATTCAATCCTCAGTGAAAGATCTCTGCAGTGTCATTGTATTTGGACTTCAGCTTGCTTTGCTGTTTTAGTTTTTTCTCGTCGAGTAGAAAAGCTACTTTTTTGGTGACATCCTTTCATTCTTTGCATCTTTCTGGCAGTATTTGGTACCTGTAGGAAAGAGAAATAAATCACATGAGCATTTTCATTAGGTCCTTTCGACAGCTGAGTCTGGAGGGATTGCTAAGTGATGCTATCCCAGTGGCAAACTGATCTCCTGCTGGGTACTTGAGCTGAAGGTGAGGGCTGGGCTGACTGGAAAGGAAAGCACCATCCATAAGTAAGAAGAAAATGCCCCTGAATTTTCCTCATTTTCCAGTCAGTCCAGGGTGCAGGATATAGGGAACCGGCCTATGCCCAACCAGCAGCCGGGATAATGGGCCTTTTTCTTCCTGATCCCCTCTGTCTGCAGCAGAGTGATGGCTTTTCCTCCCAGTGAGGATGTCTCAGCATCAATTATGCATGCTCAGTCACAGAGGGCTGCAGAAGGAGAGGACCCTCTTCAGAGAAACCCAGCCCCTTACAACTCCATGTCCCAGTCTTCTAGGGAGGAAAAAGCGGGCCATGGGAAGAACTCTGGATATAAGAAGCAGCAGGAACCTCAGATAACATCCACGTCCACTTCCACCTTTTAAAACAGAGGGAAGACTGAACTAAGGCCACATGACTTGCTATTGACAGCCCAGGAAATTGTACCCATGAACTAAGGCCCTTTCAGTCAAGACTGGAGGAAGCTAGAGGAAATGCTCCAATCTGGGCATCTCAACTGTCATGACAGGCTGTTGGAACACCTTGGCTGAGACAGGAATAAGGTTTTACAAAGAAATATGATGTCTGTGGCTCTTGTTTGGTTGGTTAAACATTTTTTTTTTAAAGAAAAAAACAAATATTATTATAAGCATTTTTTGAAAGGGGTTCAGGAAAGAAAATTTAAAAGAAAAAGACACTCATAATGGAGTTAGCAAAGAGCAGGGAGTGTAATTATGGCCCTACTTATTTTCCCTATTGCCCAGAAGTTGATTCCACACCTGGTTACACCTTAAGGCATCTAATCTTCTCAATATCTAGACCAACAAAACTCTGAAGTACAAAATAAAAGGAATTAGTTTGTGTTTTACTATACTGTCCCCTCCTACTTATTGTTTTTCCTAAGTATATTTTGGGAAAGTTTACTTTTTAATATTTAATGTCAGTGTCAAGAGTCACATAAAGGAGTATTCATATACAATCTCTTATGGAATTTCAGTCTTGATTTGTTATTGCATTCTCTTCAGGAGAGTGAGGCCAGTAAGTTCTCTCTTGGGGCTTTGCGGAAGGGCTGTAACTGATCAAAAGTGAAATGTTCACATTGCAGTGCTGAGCCAATTAGTGGGCTGTAAAATCTGTGTAGTTAAATGTAAACTGGAACTTTTATTTTAAACTGCCAAAGAATATGCTAAATTCTGTTACATGTAATATGGGAAGTGATATTTCTGTACATTAGGCATTAGTACAATGACGATTTCTCACTTTATCTTGTATTCAGAATTGAGGAAGTGTACTTCAAGCAGAGGCTAAAGGTCTAATCTCTTATTTTTCTTGTTTTTCTGCTTGATTTTTTCTGTGCTGCACAAACAGTGCTGCTGAGAGGTGAATATAGGTCCCATCAAAGGCTGATGGATGCTCAGCCTTTGGATTAGCTACACATATGGGGCACTTCCATGTTGGTAACCTGAGGTCAAGGAAGACCAGTGGTCCTTCTTCTCTTTTGCCACATATTAGGATCACATGGAGCATTTTAAAACTACAGACATGATTGGCTTCGCTCCCAGTGGTTCCAAGGATTTTGGTCTTCTCTCTGACAACTTCAGTGAAACCTCTCTCTTATCAACTGGGCTGGGCCAAAGCAAAGATTGTCCTGTGGATAGATTCTTGTCTGTCATCTTGTGTATGCATAAAGCTGATCCTGGAGTCAGTTTTCTCAAAGTTAATTTAGAAAGTGCTGTCTCATATAAACTGGTCTCAAGATTCTTCTGAGTTGCATTTTAGATCCCTAACTGGACTTGTAGAAGTGGAAATGAGAATAAAAGGGAGAGAGGTTAGAATGATGCATCTCATGATGTATGCAGTTTTGAAGTCCTGTCCTCTGCATGTACTTTTGGAGTGATGTCACTTTAGACGATCATAAATGTCCTCCAGTTAATGTCAGCTCAAATGAGTCCATGAGGTGAGAACACTGAGTCCCCATCAACTTCACCTACACTGTCAGAAGGCTACACATCTGTGCCTGAAGCCTAACCTGATTCCGGGCCAGCAGGGAACTCCCACCTGGTTCTAGTTTAGTTTTCTAAGTGGGGCTCTTTGTGCTCAGTTTTCATGTTTCTCATTCAGCCGAACAAGAGATGATTAAGGGTTGAATAAGTTGAGTTGCTCAAAATCCAACTCAAGAGAAAAACCTATGTGTAAATGATGTATTAAAACAATGCTCCCTGCAGAAAGAGGCAATGGAGTTGGAGATGCAGGGAGGAAAGGTAAATTTCCCAAGACAGTGTGCAATTTCAGGCAAAAAACTGTGCTGTGCTGAGCAGCTTAAACTATGCAGTTGGATGAGAACAAGGAGACCTGGCAATCCTGTGGCCATGAGAGGGACTCTCAAGACAGCAGAAGGAGAAGGAATAGAACAGAGTTCAGAGAGCAAAGAGGAGATGGGGACAGAAAGGGCATGGTAGGGTGGGAGCCCACTGGACACAGAGGTGAGACCAGACAGAGGTAATAGCAGATACTGGAGAGAACAAATGGAAGAGAAAAAACAGTGGGAGAATAAGCTGCCATCATAGACAGAGAGAAATAAGAAGTGAGGCAGCTAAGAGTCATAGATGTGATTACCTCTGTGCCCTAAGGATGAAGGCTAGGGAATCCACTTGCTGAACGGGAGTTTTCTTTTACTACTCTTTGGTTTCAGGACACTGAGTGATCAATATGGCCCATGACTTGACACCCTTGTATGTTGTCTGCTGAGCCTTCAAGTGCATCGTCTTCCAGCTGTGGAGGGTTCTTCATGCCAGCGCAGGGCTCTAAAACCAGCTCTGAATATGAAACGACAGCCAATGGCATCCACTGGCACCCATGATCTTACTGTGACTTTCTCTTCCACTCAAAGGACATCAAATCTGGAATGTGGCCTTGGACAAGAAAGTCCAAAGTGTGAGCCGAAGTCAATAGAATCACTTTAATATTTCCTTTTTTGTTGAATCTTTTTTTACATTACTCAGTAAAAACAAGTATGTCAGGAGGCAAAGGCACTCTCAATCCCCCAAAATATTCAAGAAACACAGGATTAAGAAACACAAATAGCTTTCTGGTAAAGAAGGCAAAAGCAAGGAAATCACACTGTATGTAGGCTGGGCTTTGGGGAGGGAAGAGATTATAAAAGTGAAAGTTAAATCAGAGCTGAGTTCAAACAGGTGATGGGGATGGAAGGGGCTGGCAGGGTGGCAGCCCATGGGACACAGGGGTGAGACCAGACAGAGGTTACAGCAGCTGATGAGAGAAAAGAACCGGGGAAGCCTAAACCTGGAGAATTTACAAAACCTGCATCATTATATGATCTATTACATATACATATACACCCCATGTAGCATACATGCCAAATACACATAATCTATATGACAAATGACATCAATGCATATATCCATATGTATTAATCTAATGAAGAAATATTACATAGGGATTTGAAAGATATTAAATATAACATTATAATGACTATTCTGATCCATTGAATTGGAAAAAAAAAATAGAAACATGAGAAGATTGAGAAAGAAAATGTGTGGAGAGAAACAATTGACCTGTTAGACAGCAGGAGAAATCACCAGCTGAAGGAAAATATGAATGAGACAAAAGGGGTTCTCTCTGTCCTCTTATCTGGAGCCTGGTTCATGCTCTGGACTCCAGGGAAAGTGAGCAAGAGACAGTGTGTCTGAGCCACTGGGGTGCATCTTGGCTGCGGGTGTGAGAATCCATAGAGCAGCAAAGGAGATTCTGGTGGGAAGAAATCAGTTTAAATAGGTTATCACGGCACGTATCAGGGGCTGCGCTTCCCCCGATACCTGCTGAGTGCCTTCTGTGTGTCCTCTCCATGGACTCAGATGGTGCTCGTTACCTCACGTGACCCTCCCTCCTCCTGAGGACAAGGATCCCCTCATTCCTCAGCCAAGGGCATCTCCTGACAGATGAGCACCAGGCAACCCCAGGGGCTCCAAGGAGAGAGCTATTGAGTGGGACAGAGAGTGAAGATGAACGCGATCCAGGGTTTTAAGGAAATCTGAGCAGAAGTGGATCCCTGTGAGATGGAAACTGAGGACATGGCCGTGGACATAAGTGGAGAGGATGAACTAAATAGAGTTTCATAAAAGACACTGATGTAAACACTTTCCATGTGAAAGTTGCGCTTTGTTTTTAAAAAGAGCAGGAAAAAAAGGAGAAGAAGGAGCTGGACATGTCATGAGACTGACTTGTGGGCCCAGGATTTACACTGTTACTGAATATGCCTCATAGGTGGTTACTGGAAGTTCCTGATAGTGGAAATTGGCTTCATGAGGGATGAGGAAGGAGAGGAAGAAAACTGGCAGGAGTGTGTGTTGAGAAAGGAAAGGAAGAGGGGTCTCTAGAAACCAGAGAGCTTCACAATTGCTCTGCCTCAGAGAAGACATAGTCTGTGAAGTCACTTTCTAAATGTAAATTTAGCAGAAGACAAATGGATTAGACAACAGCTATTTATAGGTTTATTGAGCAATTATTATTGAATCAGGCCTGTTGTAAATTATAATGATTAATATTCTCAGCAATGATGACAGCTATATATTATTTTTTAGGTAGCGGCAATGAGGAAACAGAGATTTACACCCCAAAAAGACAAAATCTTTGGCCAAAGTGAACAACCAGAAAGTGGCAAACCCAGGGCTGAGAGCAGATTTTGTCCTAAGCCCAGGCTCTTGCTCACCTCAGTGGGTTGGAGCATCATGGATTTCAACTTGACCCTGAGTGGGCATGGAGAGATCCCATTCTCTCCTCCACCCACAGCACCATGACCACCAACACCTGGACTAGACCTTCTTATTCCCCTTTCCTTCCCTACCTTGAGAGGGACATTGGGTCCCAGAATCAGCATCGGCTGTGAAGCTGCAGGTGGTGGAAAAAAGGCCCTGCCTGGCTAAGCCATTCCCGCAGTCCAACTCTTGATCCAGCTGTAGCTGTAGACAATTAGTCATCAGGGTGCTTGGCTCCAGCTGTGTCTGTGAAGCCTGCACCTCTGACAAGCGGTAGCTCAAGTCTCCACTGCAAGTCCCTTGGGGGCAGGCCTCCTGGGTGGGAGCTGAAAGGAGAAGGGGCTTCAGTAGGAACAATCTCAGTTTTCCTTTGTGAAGCATGCCCAGAACACCCATCGCTGCTGTCCCTGCCTCTCAGTGAAGCCACCCAGTGACCCAGGCCACACAGACACACATCACGTAAATGTAGGTGATGTCACTTTTCCTGTCTGTGCCTGGGGATGCTGACAGGGGCTGGATTTCCAGGGCTGGGGTGTCCCTGAAGTAAAAAACCCCTTCTTTGGCCCAGAGAACATTGGATTGGCTAACAAGGTCATGATACTTAGTCTGTCATTATGAGTCTCTTTCCTGTACCTAGAGGGAAAGTTCTAGAGAGCCCTCAAAGCATAGGAGAAGAGGAGCTGTTCCCCACAACACAGGTGTATAAGAACAGGGCAAGAGTTAGATCCACGAGGCTTTGAGAAAGAACCATGAGGAAGACCAAACACTAAGTGAGGCAAACTTTTCAGGGATCTGGGACGTTTTGAATTTCCCATTGCCTATAATGGTTTAATCCCCTACGCACACGTCTCCATCCTATTGCCATATAGTGGGCGTCAGCAGCCATAGGCAATGTAGTAGACAGACCACTCCCTCTGTGGAAATTCAGAAGCCATGAGAGCTATAGATCAGCACGTGCAGTTTCTTAGGAAGGTAACACAGGGCACGGTCCTCACATTACCCACTCCTCCAGTGGGATTCAGGAAGACAAATTATTTCTATTTCCACAAGGAGTGGAATACACATTCTCACAGTGGACTAAGGAAAGTCTTCCAATGCCCTCACGCCAGTCCATGTCAGGCTCAGGACAGGGACGGGGCCTGCAGGGCCAAATCCACATTGCTGAGGGGCTCCTCTCTCTCCTTGCCTCTCCACATCCTCATTCTCTCCAACGTTTTCAAAGTTTTTAAAAAATGTCTTCCATGTGTCTGTTCTCTTTCATCTCCCTGAGAGCACAGAGTGTCAGACTCATCACTGAAGCCTGGCTTCATACACGCTCCATCTCTGCTGTCCCTGTTTCTGCCATCTCCACTCTAGCAATTGTCTCAGCAGTTTTACCACCCAGAAGCTCTGTTCTTACCATGTTCCCTCTCTGCATCTGAAAACTTTCTCTCCACTGCCCACTGGGTGTCTCTCCCCCTCACCCTGCCTCTGTGCTCCTTCTAACATCAGCCCCACTTCCCTGTCCAGCATCGCCTCCCACCACTCGCTCAAACAGATTCTCCCCTGGAGTCATGCTGGCCCCTCCATGGCCTACCCTGCACCAGGTGCCATCCAGCTTTGTGGTCTTTGTCCAGGAGTCATTCTCTCAGCCAGTTTTGGCATCCCTAGTTGCTCAGGGCACACTTTACTGATGATTAACCCTCAGCCACTTAGGACACTGTCACATTTTAAGATACCTGACATTGAGCAAATGAGGAAAACATCCTGAAACAACAAATCTGGCTGATGCAGGCTGGGCAAACACAGCTCTCCCTTTCTGATTCTCTGCACTTGCTATTTAGAATCAATCTCTGTGAATGTCTTTGATTCTCACTACGTAATTTTCTCATGTCATTTTATCCCTCTTTTCTAGACTACTGAGTCTTATTAAACTTATACTGTGAATATTTGCATTTTCAAAAGAAAAGGGAAATGTTTTTTTCAAATTTCTGCAGTACTGTGGCATTCTTAATTGGGCAGGTTGGGAAAGCCTGCTATAAAAGATCAAGTGATAATTTATAAAGTTGTATTCTTTGTTTTTTTTTTTTTTCTTTGAGATGGAGTTCGCTCTTGTTACCCAGGCTGGAGTGCAATGGCGCGATCTCGGCTCACCGCAACCTCCACCTCCTGGGTTCAGGCAATTCTCCTCCCTCAGCCTCCCAAGTAGCTGGGATTACAGGCACGCGCCACCTTGCCCAGCTAATTTTTTGTATTTTTTTTTTAGTAGAGACGGGGTTTCACCATGTTGACCAGGATGGTCTCGATCTCTTGACCTAGTGATCCACCAGCCTTGGCCTCCCAAAGTGCTGGGATTACAGGCGTGTGCCACCGCGCCTGGCCAAAGTTGTATTCTTTCTCAATCCACCAAGCTTTTCTCTGCAGGGAGAGGATGGGCAGAGCAGATCCACTTTGACATGGCTGCCGGGGTCAGGGCTGTGCACTATACACACTATTCACACATTATTATCATGAAGCCACACAGGAAGCATCCTTGTGTAATTTCAAGGGCATATCCATTCATCTCAGACCGTTTGCATAGATGAATGTGCCTCTCCTGGCCCAGGTCTCCTGACTCCCTGGCAGGACCGGCCCACATCACAGGCATCCCACTTGTGAGACACATGTCAGAGCAATTCCGCTTTTTATTGTAGGAGCCTCATCCTGGATGAGATGCAGCTCCACAGATTTACGGGGATCCAAGCATGGCCAAGTTGAGCGTTGAAACCCTGGGTACAGGGGGTAGGGAGAGACTAGGACCTTTCATTTCCTGAGTGCTTTTCTAGGGGAGAGCCTGTGGGAGCTGTAGGTCCCTCTGAAGGAACTGGAGGAGCCACTGATTCTGCTCACAAAGTGCACAGAGGTAATCCTTGATAAGTCTGTGACAGGGGCTACAGGAGTTCTTTATCCCAGACCAGCAACTTTTCTGTTTCAACTTGACTTTATTCCAAAATAATTTCTACAAAAGGAAAAGGGTGAGCACCCATAGTGGCCTAGTACCTGACATGTCCCCCCACAGAGAAATGACAGAAACTGGGCCATGGAGTCAGGCAGACAAGGGGCTTATGTTCCCAACACGACTAATCGGGGCATCTGGGCCAAGTGCAGGAAACTTTCCAGAGCCCCAGCGTCCTAAGCTCTAACAGGGAAATGCCACTGCTTATTTGGGAGCGATTCTTGAGCCCTGAATGTTTCATAACAGGACAGAGCTTCGTTGGCAAGGGCCAGGGCATACAGCAGATGCAAGGCCAATGTGTATTTTATTTATTTCATGAGTTACTGTGATCCTAGAAAAGTATTTGCGTTTTTGAATTTAGGGAGAAATACAAAATGGGAAAGGGGGTGGTCCCAGCAGGAAAGGCATTCACTGAACAAAACAGAATAGAGGCCAACTTTGTTGTTGCTAGTTTCTTTCTTTGTGTGTGTGTGAGAGACACAGAGTCTCACTTTGTTGCTCAGGCTGGAGTGCAGTGGTGCAATCACGGCTCACTGCAGTCTCAAATTCCCAGCCTCGGGTGATCCTTCCATCTCAGCCTCCCAAGTAGCTGGGACTACAGGTGTTTGTCACCGTGCCCTGCTAATTTTTCGCTGAAACGTGTTTTTATGATGTTGCCCATGCTGGACTCAAACTCTTGAGCTCAAGCAATCTACCTGCCTCGGCCTCCCAGAGTGCTGGAATTACAGGCATGAGCCATCACACCTGGCATTGTTGCTAATTTTATTACAACATAATCAGATATGCTGGGGTACATCAGAGTTACTTGCTCTTCCTAGAAAATGAGTTGATGGATGAAACTCCCAAAAATCCACATGAAGCTCCCAGAATGGAATTAAAGAAACACGATGAGCAAGAAGAAATGAAAATTGTAAGTTTTCTCTACATGTCCATGATCCTGCTACACCAAGAGGCCCTTGCTCAGAGGAAAAGTTTTCTGGACATCGTGGGGATAGGAACCACTCTGCTTTGTTCATCGGTTAGGCCAGTACCTCATGAGGGACACTAGATCTCAATGTTTTTCATGAGAATATAGCACTGAGACCAAATCCTGATTGAAATGAGAAACCCATACATAGAAAAAAAACACTAAAGCTCTGCAGAGGATGCAAGCCTTGCCGTGCATAAAGGAAGGGATGCTAGACTGCATCAGTGGAGGGAAGAGACATTAGAGGAAGTTGAGCCGCAGTTCCCAACCTTTTTGGCAGCAGGGTCTGGTTTCATGGAAGATAATATTTCAGGGACAAGGGTAGTGGGGATGAGCTGCGATGATTCAAGCACATTACAGTTTTCATGCCCTTTATTTCTAGAATTATTACACTGCAATATCTAATGAAATAATTATACAACTCACCACAATGTAAAGTCAGTGGGAGCCTTAAGCTCGTTTCCCTGCAACTAGATGTTCCCTTCTCGGGGTGACAGTCACTGGGAGGCAGTTGACAGATCATCAGGCCTTAGATTCTCATGAGGAGTGCACAGCCTAGACCCCTCGTATGCACAATTCACAATAGGGTCCGAGCTCCTGTGAGAATCTAATGCCACTGCTGATCGGACAGGAGGTGGAATTCATGCAGTAATGCTCTCCCACTGCTCTCCTCCTGCTGTGCGGCTTAGTTCCTAACACGTCGTGGACCCACAAGCGTCCATGGATGGCCCCTGGGTTGGGGATCTGTGATGTAGTGAATCCAGTATGAGACACAGGAATCATAAAACAGGCCTCCAGATAATTGTGCAAAACTTCCTGCATGTGTGGATGGCCAGAGAAGAGATAAGGACACTGTTCAAAGCATGGAGTTAGCAATATAATTTCAGAAAGAAGAGTTGCCCTATCTCAAAAGAGAAGGTTTGTTATACAAATATGTCCAGATGAGCTACTGTGGGCAAGAACTTGCTAAAAGCCCTAACCCCTTTCCAGTTTTTTTGCCCACAGCCTGCTCTTGCAAGAAGTAGCCAGGTGACAGAGGAGTCACTTGGAACAGGGATAGAGGAAGGTTCACCCACTGGATGTGTGTGATCCAAACTGGATCCCAGAGCCAGATTCAAAACAGGCTCAGTGTACAGGGCCTGTCTGTATTGACGGCCTGGCTCAGCGGCACTAGTTGCAGAAACAAAACATATGGAGGCTGCCTGGGAAGACACTGGAGCTTTGTGACCTTCAGGCTGGAGTACTCACAGGCTACATCCAGAGCAGAGCATGAGAGCTGATCATCCAATGAGGACAAGGTGTTGCTATAAGGCTGGTGGCAGTCAGACAGGTCATGGTGAACTCAAGGTGTCAAGTAAATTTCATCCAAGGAGTCCTCTGGGACTTCCTGCTCGTTCACCTGTGGCAGCTCCTGGCTCAGCCTGGAGGAAAGAAGACAGAAGATAAAAACTGGAGAGAAGCAAAACCACTGTGCCCAGCTGGTTCTATGGGGAGGACCACAGCAGGGGCCAGAGGAAGCCAAGTACAGTCCCCTGAGAAAAACATAACCATTCTTCCCTGTCTGGAGCAGGAGACAGAGCGGCAGGTGCTCAGTGCACTGGGCAGACAATGAGCTGGGGAGGAAGGAGATGGAGGGATCCCTGTGGGAAACTGCCAGGGCACAGTGCATTCAGCACTTCTGCATACATTTTGTTGACATTAACATCAGAGGCCAAATGAATACAGGTTCTTGAATCCTCACAGAAAGAGTTCCTGTATCCTCAACATCACTTGTTCTCCAAACCGTGAGCAGGATGTGAGTTATTTTCATTCACTCTCCTGCTATGAAATACTTGTAAACATGGTGATAATGCCAAAGAGGCAGACATCAGGTGACGTCAGGAAATCCCTGAGCTTGGTCCGTTCACCTGGCTCAACTGATTGTCCCTTCCTATGCTTGAGAGGGAATTTTTGGATGAATGGATGAGACGGTTCTGTTCATCACTTCCTGTGCTATTTTCCCCTGGATCCCTGGTCTCCAGGTGTCACGATTGAGCTAACAGCCCACAGATCCACAGTTACCTGGGGGGCACTGGCCCTTTTCCTTCCTCTTTCTCATCATCATTTTGATTTCCTGTAAAGAAATTTAGGAGAGCAAGTCACAGTAAGGAAATCACACTTCAACAAGACCAAATCAGTGTCCAGTCATAGCACAAGGACATCAATCTCCTCAGAGTAAGAATATGATATTCTGACAGGAAGGTTCTAATGTGCTCTAGATGAAGTCTTGTCAGAAGTAGATGAGCGTGCTGTTCAGACCCATGGGACAGAATCTCCCTCATCTAATGTCATAATCCCATATTTTCTGACCTAAGTCTGTGCAAACAATTAAACACAATTTTTTCCCCATGATCTTCAACAATGGTCCTAACTACTCTCCAGAAGTATTGCTGCAGTACTGATTTATCTCATCATATATCCTGTCAATGAATTGTAAGAGAAATTTTATTTACATACCTCCTGGCATCAAGGTGACTGCATAGCTAGGACAATCTGACTCACAGGAGACCAAGACTGAGGTTGAGAAGAGTGAAATCAGGGAAACAACATTTCCAAGGCTGTCAGTGGCTGTGGACAAGCATAGAAACTCCATGGACATTGTGCAGGGGCCCAAATTACATCATTACAGGAAACAAGAGACACAGGAACTGAGCTAGGAGGCCTGACAGATACCGCCCGTACAGCTCCTGTACAAAGGTGGCTATGAATTTAGTCACACCTGCTTGTGGTCCAGTAACCTGATATTGCGGCCAGGGAGAAGTGGAAAGCCATCGGACCCACTGATATCTGTATTTAACATTCCATCCTAATCCTCCCTCCCTCCCTCCCTCCCATCCTTCCTTCCTTTCTTTTTTTTTTTTTTATGAAACAGGGTTTCTCTCTGTCACCTAGGGTGTACAGTGGTGGGGTCATGACTCACTGCAGTTTCAACTTCCTGTGCTCAGATGATTCTCCTACCTCAGTCTTCTGAATAGTTGGGACTACAGGTGTGCACCACCATGGCTGGGTAATTTTTTATATTCTTTGTAAAGATGGATTTCACCACATTTCCCAAGCTGGTCTTGAACTCCCAAACTCAAGTAATCCACCCACTTGGACCTCCCAAACTGCTGAAATTACAGATTTTGTAATTTCTGTAATGAGGCACTGAACCCAGCTATATCCTAGTTTCTGATTCAAACCAATGTGTATGTATACAGCCTATCCTCAGAATTGATCTTCCTCAGCCTAAACAGAGTCACGAGGGATAAAGAATATAGAGGCTACCTGGGAGAATGTTTAGAGCTTCCTCCCCTTCATCCTGAGAGCATTCACTGTCTACAACCAGAGAAGAGTCGACTTTGCCTCCCTCGAATGTGACTTTGGTGCTCCTCTGAGGCTGGTTGGAGTCAGAAGGGCTGTAGCTGTTTGAATAAGCACATGCCTCCAGTGAGTCCTGAGGGACTTCCTTTTCCTCAGCCTTCTGTACCTCCCTGATGAGCCAGGTAGGATAGAGATGACAAAGATTGAACCAAGAGGAACTGGACCCCAGGAATTCCCAGCTGGTTTTGACAGGAGGCATAAGGTAGTGGTCCCAGAAAGCAAAGGGGAGGTTTTGTTTAAGAGGGAACAGGCAATTCTCCTCTCTCTGCAACAGAGCACGGCTGCCATGGGAACCAGAGAGGAAGCGAGCAGCTGGTGTTCATTGCAATGGACAGATAGGAGCTGAGGAAGACAGAGACTCAGCTGCTTCTGTATGGTACAGTCTTGACAGCACACACACAGAACCAAAAACAGCTGGCACATCATGTGTGTTAAGCTGGGTTGTGTTTAACATACTGTGACCAAGGGAATACAGGTGTCTGAGCCATGGTAGACTCCAGAGATGGTGTGCCTTCTAGATTTACATAAAAATTGTAACATTGTGATGTGAAATGTAAATATTTTCTAGGCGTTTTTCCTGGTGTTTAACTTTGCTGGGTGTTCCTAATTCCTCTGCTGGCTGCCTCCTTGCTATTTATCTTCCCTAACAAGAGTCTAAAGACAAGCATGTAGAAAGCGGCTTTGAAGCTCCTCCTGGCTTTCACTACAGGGGAGGACAGGTCTCCTCTGTTTGTGCAGGAAGTCCCTAAGGCTGGTGAGTTCATGGAGGGTCATGCTTACAGGTACCATGAAGACAATGGACAAGCATGTTAACAGCGCTATTTCCTTGTTGGTTAATTCATGAAATCAGTGCACTCTGCAGCTATCTGTATCCTGCACCTGGAATCTGTGACTACCTTCACGTACCTGTGTTCTTTCTGAGACCTTTTCCATATTTTACCATCCATTACCCACTCCTGACTATTCAGTGTTACCTGGGAGCAGGTGATTCCTGTATGTTCTCAGTCTCTGCATCTGTAACATCTGCATCATTTTCTGGAAATACAGAAGTGTCTGTTCAGAAATTTCCCACTTCACCCACTGGAAGCACAGTTAGCCCTATGTGCACTGAGACGTGAACATCCATGTATGGGTTTGCACCGTACTGAAAGCTCTCATGCTTTGTCTTCAACAAAATGCCCTGGCATGTTTTCCTGATCCATGAGGCAACGTGTTTCTGATCTGGAAGGTCACCATCAATTTGTGGTCAAATGTTGAAAAGACTCCTTGCTTCCCATATTACTAGAGGCTTGTCCAGCCTCTCTCTAAGCTTCAGCAGCTATCTCCCCAAGCCTGCCACAGTTCTGATACCCAGGCATAGGCTTTGTGTCCTGTCACAGCTTGCATTAAAACCTGTGTCTTTCTCTTAGGACAGGACAAACAAACTTGTCCCACAATACTCCATACATCGGGGACTTCATGGGCCCTCCAAGAGACTTCCACTGTGCTATCCAGGGACACTCTCACCATGGGGAGTGCTCCAGTCTGGATCACTTCCTACTAGCAAATGCCCCCACATTCAATGCCTTCTCCAGCACCACACAGCAAGGGGCTTTATCTCATCGTGAAATACAGTCGTAAGTGTTCCCACATTTGAATGCAAGAGACAGTTTGCCTGCCTTTACAGATTTAGAGACAGGAACCCAGGAAGGATGAATTAATCACTTCCTCACAGTTGCTAAAGACATTGCTGAAGATAGAGCCTGGGAACCTTCATTCTTAGTCCAGGGCTCTTCTTTTTACTCTAACAAGCTGCCTCCTGTCACAGCCTCCTTCCTGTTCTTTAAAACTGGACAGATGCTGCCTTTTGCCTCAAAGACCACGTTCCAGCAAGAAACGAGGAGACATTTGCAATCCTGTGACCTCCAACCCCATGAGTTTCCCATCTCTGTTTTTACCCAGGAAGTCCTGGTCATGTCATGGCTACAAATTTTCAGCAGGAAGAAACATTACCCATAAAATTGTCACTGTGGAGGTGTGGAGGTCTGGGGACTTTGATACACCTGGGTGTGTGTGTTATCAGGGCCTGTGTCCACCTTATCTTGGCTGAGCTTCTAGACAAGATGCTCTGCCAGCCTGCACCCCTCAGCCAGCTGCTCTCGGAGGTCCTGACCCTGGGACTTGTCAGGGTCATGAGGAGTGAGGAGGGCCTTGAAATGCTGATTCAGTGAGCGGGAGGCATCTCTCCCTTCCCGTAACTTGCCCCATAACTGGGTCAGCTCTTTTGCCTGAGAGTGAACCAGGGCTTTATATTGCCTACGGTGAGATAGCAGAGAACGTTGCATAACGGAAAGAGATGAGTGATACTCTAATACTGCAACAGAGATTTATGTGAGAATGTCCTCAAGGAGCCCTCCAAGCAGAAGGTCACAACATGTTTGGGGAAATGCCTGTGGCCAAGAGAAATATATATATATATGTATATTTTAGGCAGGCAGCAGTGTTTCATGCCTGTAATCCTAGCACTTTGGGAGGCTGAGGCAGGCAGATTAACTGACGTCAGGGGTTCAAACCCAGTTTGACCAACACAGTGAAACCCTGTCTCTACTAAAAATACAAAAATTAGCCAGTCATGGTGGAGCATGTCTGTAGTCCCAGCTACTTGGGAGGCTGAGACAGGAGAATTTCTTGAACCCTGGAGGCAGGTGTGGCAGTTAGCTGAGATTGTGTAACTGCACTCCAGCCTGGGTGACAGAAATAAGACTTCGTCTCAGAAGAAAAGAAAACAAATTATATCTATCTATATATAATATATAGATATCAAATACATATTTTTTAAAAAGGCTTGCTCTGTATCAGAGAGAGCTCCTATAAGATCCTTTACGATGTTCCATTCATTTTTTTCTTCTGTAAACCAAAGTCAGTGCCTTCCTAAATCAATTTCAAAAGGATGTCCTTTCAGTTCCTCACTTTGGCCATGGACATTTCTATGTGAAAATTCACATAGTGCATCTTGTAGTGACTGGAAACAAGCCATGCACAGAAATGTGGCCAGGTGCAGATGGGGTGAATTGGAAAGATGAAAGAAGAAAAGAATGGCCGGTCAAGAAGGCAATCTTCATTGAATGAATGAGTTGCTGCAGTCAGTCAGGAGGTGACTCTGACTAAGAGAAAAGGAGTGGTGATCACACACCATTTGGAGGGTATTAAATGCTGCTGGGTGGTACATTTTCTTTTAATGAATTTTGGTTATGCAAATTTCAATTCAACAATTAGTTGTTTTAAAAAGAGAAATTAAAGCTCAAGAAACAACTGTAACCCATAACTTGCTAAGATTACTGTTCTGCTTTATAAATATTTGTGTGAAATGTGCCTGGCAGGTAAATGCCTGCCCTTGTCCTGGCCCAGCTTAGCTCTTACTTCTCCCAGCTGAACTGCTGCACTTCAGAGATTCACACCCTTGCCCACCTGCCTGTCCACACAACGTCTGCTCACCTGAGCTCCTCAGCTGCCTGAGCTTCTCTGCCAGCTTCTCCTCTATGAACTGTACTTCATTCCACAGCACAGAGTCTATGATGTCTTTGTACTCTTCATACTCTGAGAAAAGACAGTCATACCTGCTTCAGTGGAAGGCTGGACATGCTGGTGTGGTCACTGTCTACAGGGCAGGTGGCAGTGTCGGTCCCAAGGACAAAAGCATCCCCAGTACAAGACTGTAGTGAGGAATTTCCTCATTTTTAATTATCAACCTCCCAACTTTCTGGCATCTGATACTCTCCAACTTAGAGATGGGGAAAAAGAAACTCAATGGCACATCAAGTAACTTGACAAGATGATTCACCGGAATGAGGCAGAGTCAGAATTCATAGCCCCTGAGGTCTGACTCTGAATCCTGGGACACTTTCCCAAGCCTTGCAGCCTCTCCTGTCAAACACTCTACTAGGGCATAAAGTAATGATATCCTGCACGGTAGGAAAGGCCGTTAGGACTATGGGACTTATGGATTCCCTGGTACTGGGAATTTCAGGCACAAATATTAAAAAATCATATCTGAATATAATTATATAAAATATGAGGCATAAGACCCTGAGATCATCACAGAAATATGACCAAATACAAATAAAGTTTGAATTAAGTTAGAAACAGAATGAAGAACTAACAGATAGTGTTTACTGTGCCAAGAATTGTTCTAGGAGAATTAGAAGAAATGGGTCATGTAATTCTTGCAGCAATTTACAGAGGTAGGTATTATTACAGTACCCAATGAACAGATGAGGAAACTGAGGCACAGAGAAGACAGGCAACTTGGATGGAGCTCAGGAGACTGGCTCAGGCTCCCTGCTCTGCACACTGCACTGCTACCTCCACGATGTCTTATGTACCATCTTTCTTTCTCTTTAGAATAAGAGCCTGTACCCCAGGAAGCAGGACTTCCCTCTCACCAAGGTACTCCCTGCTTTTCATGCTGTCACTTATGGATGACACCGTTACTATTTAGGAGCGGCCTCCTCTTTAAGCTCCTTAGAGCAGGTACTCTGTACGGTTGCCATGTTTCCCCTGGGGTTCCCTGAAGAGAGATTTGCCTATAGGGCCTCAAAGAAGCTTAAACTGAATGGCAGTTCATTAGTTGTAGACATTTAGACCAACAGACTAGATGTTATTTGTCTGCAGAATCTTCTAGGGTACAGAGAGCATTCTCGTAAAAATGATTGAGCATCTTGTGGAGAAAAACAAGGGGTTCTGTGCCTCCATCAGAAGTCAGTAAGCAGGATTTTAACTCTAGTCCCACCTCACAACAGACTGCTAACGTGGAAAAGTTGCTAAATACGTTGTGCCTCAGTTTTCCATCCTTAACACAATGAAGTTAAAATACCCATTTCTGTTTTCCTAGAACTAAGAAAAGGATGAAATTAATTTTGATGAAAAGACCGTTCAGTGTCTCAGAGAGAAGGCAGGTGCTGATTCATCACTTTCGTGATGGTGAATCTATAGAACTTACTGTATTTCTTCAGTTGTTTAGCCAGAGAATAGGCAGTAGCTTGAATTATAAGAAATTTTTCTTTGAGGTCTTCGAACTGCGGTTGGCTTTCTGCCAGCTGGGAGCGCAATTCCTTGTTGATTTTTCAATTTTCATCTCTGCCCTGTCATGGGACAAATGTATGGGAGTTACCACCATGCTGACATTTGTGGCAGAAGAGTTCAAACAGGGACTGGGGAGAAGAAACCCAAGCACATGATGGGTCAAAAACTAGTGAAATCAACTAGGTTGATTCAGGACTGAGGGATGACAACAGCTGGAATTGTTGACTTACGGTTGAGAAGAACTTGATCAACACAACGCAGTCGTTGAGAGTCCTTAATCGCAAAAACAGCGTTTAGGATGCCTGAGCTCAGAGCCGAAGGCGCTGCCTGTAGCTCTGCCTCTGACAAGAGCGAGGTGGGTAGCAGCCAGCGTCCCAGGTAACCATCTGCAGTTGCAATAACAGAAATAGAAGGTGGGGGTGTCATGGAATCTTAGGAGCCCTGCATTCCAATTGCCCAGGCTGTGTTGAAACCCAAAGTCCCCTGGTCTCACCCAACAGTGACTGATGGGGACCATTTCCTTAGCAGTCACTCTCAGTATCTATGCACCCTTGTGACAATGCTATAGACTCCCCTCTTTGTCAATACATCTAAGCATATTCCTCGTTGTTCATCTCATGTGTGTATAAAATCATCAAGGTAGAAATAGTTTCCCAAATGGTTACATTTTCTTAGGGTAGTCAGAAAGCCACCCCACCTTCTCTAAGTTAAAACAGATCTTAAGGTTTTTCCACAAATGAAAGATATCAGACTTTTAAACTGCTATGGTATCTTCTGGGTTCTGCATTTTGTTTTCTGTACCTACTGAAAAGTTTATCAATAATTTATTTTTAAAAATATTTTTTCCCCTGGCTTAGTATTCTCCTGGCTGCATCCCATTATTATGTTGATTTCTTTTCTCTGACTGAGGCAGCATCGTGCCTTCTCATTCCACTTAAGACCAGTTCACATCCCTATGTGCAAAGCTCTGCTTCTATCTGCAGGTTGATTTGTTTCCTTAATGTCCCTGAACACTTGTTTTATACTTGTCACTTACCAATATTATTCTGGTCCCACAAGAGCTCTTTTGAAAGTATCAAATGATCAAAATCATTTGTGTATAGCCCCTCAAAACATGTTGAACATATATTTTGGGAAGTCTTGTAAACCTGATGCTATTTTAGTGTTTTCATTTAGTTTTCCCATGTATTAAAAGGAAAAGGAACAGGGCCATGAACACTTCTTATGGAATATTGTTGGAGATATATATATATATATATAAATTTACAGAGTTGCCTTCCACTAACAACCTGGCAAGATCATGGTCGTGGTCAGGGTGGTTGATGATCCTCAGTGTTCCTGTGCAGTAGGAGCTGAGTTTGGGATGAGAGGGATGAGTAGGGAACCACCTCCTCACTTTCTCAGCTTTTTTCCTCACCTAGATTTTGTGAGGGTAGGACTTGTGAAATTGTCCCGAAGCCCAGGTCTCCTAAGTTTGGCTGCCGGACTTACATGAGTTGAAGGTGCGATGAGTGTTACATAGGCTACCCCAGCATTCAGGTAGAAGTGAAGGAAGGAGGACTGGGTCAATCCCATTTGAAAACCTGCCTCTCAGCAACCTGCACCATCCTCCAGCTACACTGTGTAATGACAGTGCTTTGAGATGTATCGGAAGCTGTAAATACATCTATTTTCTGGTGTCTGGGAGACCTGGCATTCTGAGCCAGAATGAAAAGCTCTCAAGTTTCTTCATTTTACAAATAATGAAACTGCAGGTTCGTAAAGTTACATGGTTTACTCGAGGTCACCCAGCGATGAGTTTTGAGCACTGCCAATAAAAGCAATCAGTAATTATTCAGAAAATGTTCATAAAATCCATATAATTCAGTAGATTCACATAATTTTTCCATAATTATTAACTTCCAATTTGTACTAGGCATTTTGTTTAAAAGTGTACACATAGTTGGACATCATATTTTCATCATAATCCTTAAGGCCGTGTTATCATCTGTAAGAAACAGGTAAAAAAGCTGAAGAAGAGGGAAAGCAAATCATGTCTTTGACCACAGTTCCATGTTTTTGTTTCTGTGGTTTCATTAGAATGACCAGAATGAGTCATGAGAAGAATATTCATTCTTGTATCATTTTCCAGGACCTAGGTGTGCCCTCCTAGACTATTGGGACCAAAATTCACAAGCGTCTGCACCTTGCTTTAACAGTGCAGGACATAGTCTCTATCACCTGGAATTTCACTGGAACTTTGGAATATACAAAAGAAGTATGAGACTTGGGTCTGCCCTTGACTCTATTTAATTTGCTCTTCTATTGAATAGCAATGATTCTCATTAAGACTTTGGCCTTTTTATAACCATGATATATATTTTATGGAGAAGATTTTACTCTTGGCTCTATTTAGAAAGAATAAATTTCAGCTATAGCTTAAGTTTTATGTCCTGGACTTAATATTTTTTTCTAATTTCTGTTTTGAGATTAGATTCTTATGTAAATAGGAAAATACTTGTTATTACTTATAAGAGCAAATTAGTTATTGGTTTCAGTTCCTGAAGTGGAAGCACAAACTTTTGTTTTTAATCTTTGATTATCCCTATCAGTGCTGCTCATTGTCTCTCAGTGTGACCTGGCCGTGCTCCTCCACTTACCCTTGACCTGCTAAACCATCTCCACACACTGTCCAGTTCCCAGTGATTCAGGCTCCTCCCAAAGCTCTCTGAAATGAGTGCAGGTCTCAGGATGTCACACACATTCCAGATACAAAAGCAACTCATACTGCAGAGCGGAGAGCTGCATTCCCACTTTTCTGAGGTTGGCTGTGATGTCCTAGGACAGGAAGGAATGCTTTCCCTTTTAAGGGGGTCTTTTCTTCACATCTCAGTGCCTCTGATCTAGTGAACACAAATGTCCTGAACGTGAAAGAACTTGCTAAATGTCTGGTTTCTTGTTATGTGGCTGGAATAGACTTATAAGACTTTTTTCTTACTCACGTCTGCTGAAGTTTGAATCTTAGTTTGAAGTATGATTTCTTTTTCCTGTAAAGTGAGCAGTCGGTAGACGATTAGCCCTGTTGCTGTGCCAAAAGAGGTAAACTTAATTTCAACTCAAAGCAAGCTTGAATTTGAAACTAGGGCTTCCACTCTTTCAATACTGGACTGTCATTCCCTGAGACATGTGCCCGGAAGGACTCCTGTCCCTGCTGTACTGAGGCTAAGGTTAAGAAGAGCCCAGCAAGCAGGGTCTCCTTCACTTCTAGCTTCCCCCAACAGTTTCTCCTGAGTTTTAGAGACTCTATTGAGAATATTCTTCCTCTACTTTTGTGTTTTGGCTTCGGAATGATGTGATGCAGCTCAGTGGTTCCTAACCCCAAGTTGATCAGAGTAAGAAAAACCTGGGAAGGTCAGTGATAATACAAGTTTATTGTCCTCCTTTCAGGGATTCTGATTCAGTGGGCTCAGGCGGGGCCTGGAAGTTGTTTGTTGACATGACTTAGATGTACAGTCAGTTTGGGGACCCTCTGATACCAAGAACCTTACAGTTTATGGGATGATTCTTTCTATTTTGCTGGTGATGTAACCAAGGCACAGAGGGTCTGTAACTTGCCCAAGTTTCCTTTGCTGGAAGTACTGGAGCCAGATCTCAGGTAGAGTCCCTCTGGCACAAACCCCTTCTCACATTTTCCAATTCAGTTGTGTGGGTTCTTTCCAAGTAGGTGTTTGTCTCCCCTGTACCCCATCTCTGCCAAAAAAAAACTTTTTGAATTTAATTTGTTTTATCTAATACATTTCCTCACAACGTGCTGTCAACATCCTATTCTGGCCAATTACTATTACTCTAAGATGACTCTTTTTGAGACAGGGTCTCGTTCTGTCATGCGGTGATTATAGCTCACTGCAACATCAAACCGCTTGGCTCAAGTGATTCTCCTCTCTGAGCATCCAAAGTAGCTGGAACTCTAGGCACACATCACCATTCCCAACTAATTTTGTAATTTTTTGTAAAGATAAGGTCTTGCTGTGTTGCTCAGGCTAGTCTCAAACTTCTGCCCTCAAGCAATCCTCCTACCTAAGCCTCCAATAGGGCTGAGATTATAGGAACAAGCCACTGAACATGGCCCTAAAATGCTTTTTTTAAAAATCAAAATAAAAATGCAGGGCATGGAGATGTAAAAAGATACCTCACTTTATTACTGTTATAATTATTACTCCTAAAGTATAATCTTCTAAAGTACAATTCATATATCACAAAATTCACCATTTTTAAGCATACTATTCAGCATATTCCAAAGGTTTTGTAACCATTACCACTACCTAATTCCAGAATACATTTGTGATGCCAAAAAGCATGCCTATCCTTATTGGCAGTCACTCTCCAATTCCGCCATTTTTGCAGTCCCTGACAACCACTAATCTTCCTTCTCTCTCTCTAGATATACTTGTTCTGGTCATTTCCTTTATGTGGAATAATGCAATGTGGCCTTTACATCTGCATCTCTTATGTAGCACAATGTTCTCAAGGTTCATCCTTGTTGTAGCATGCATTAGCACTTCAATCCTTTTAACGGCCAAATGATATTCCATTTTATAGTTACACCACATTTTGTTTATCTGTTCATCAACTGATGGCAGTTTGGGATGTTTCCACTCTTTCACTATTATAAATCATGCTGCTATGAACAACTTTGCACATATTTTTGAGTGGAAATCTGTTTTCAATTTTCTTGGTGATATACCTAGGAGTGCAATTGCTGCCTCATATGTGACTTTATGTTTCAGTTTTTGAGAAACTGACAGACCATTTTTCTATCTCAGTGGCTACACCATTTTATATTCCCACTAGCAATATATAAGAATTCCATTTTCTCCATAACTTTTCAAACATATGTTGTCTTTTCTGTAAAGTCATATTAGTGGGTCTGATGTGGTATCTAATTTTGTTTATATTTTCCTAATGATGAAAAACACTGAACATCTTTGAACTGCTTTTTGGTCATTTGTATGTATCCTTTATAGAAATATCTATTCAAACCTTTTCTCTTATTGTTAAATTGGGTAATTTGTCTATTTTGCTCAGTTATATGCATTCTTTATATACTCTAGATAC